ATGAAACCCAAACGTCAACAGGTACAGGTACAGTTAATACACCAACTTTACCAGTAACTAGTGCGACCCAAAAGTCAACTGTTACAGTTAATAAACCAACTTTACCTGTAACTAATGGAACCCAAACGTCAACTGTTACAGTTAATACACCAAATTCTCCAGTAACTACTGGAACCCAAATGTCAACAGTTACAGTTAATACACCAAATTCTCCAGTAACTACTGGAACCCAAACGTCAACAGTTACAGTTAATACACCAACTTCACCAGTAACTAGTGGAACCCAAACGTCAACAGTTACAGTTAATACACCAACTTTTCCAGTAACAAGTGGAACCCAAACGTCAACAGTTACAGTTATTACACCAAATTCACCAGTAACTAGTGGAACCCAATCGTCGACATTTACCGTTAATACACCACCTTCAACAATAGTTAGTGGAACCCAAACGTCAACAGTTACAGTTAATACGCCAACTTCACCAGTAAGTAGTGGAATCCAAACGTCAAAAGGTACAGTTAATACACCAACTTCACCAGTAGCTATTGGAAACCAAACGTCAACAGGTACAGTTTATACACCAATTTTACCAGTAACTAGTGGAACCCAAACTTCAACAGTAACAGTTAATACGCCAACTTCACCAGTAACTAGTGGAACCCAAACGTCAACAGGTACAGTTAATACGCCAACTCCACCAGTAACTAGTCGAATCCAAACGCCAATAGGCACAGTTAATACACCAACTTCACCAGTAACTACTGGAACCCAAACGTCTACAGTTTTAGTTAATACACTACCTCCATCAGTAAATAGTGGAACCCCAACGTCAACAGTTACAGTTAATACACCAACTCCGCCAGTAACTAGTGGAACCCAAATGTTAACAGTTTTAGTTAATACATCACCTCCATCAGTAAATAGTGGAACCCAAACGTCAACAGTTACAGTAAATACGCCAACTCCACCAGTAACTAGTGGAACCCAAACGTCAACAGTTACAGTTAATACACCAAATTCACCAGTAACTAGTGGAACTCAAACGTCAACAGTTACAGTTAATACGCCAACTTCACCAGTAACTAGTGGAACCCAAACGTCAACAGTTACAGTAAATACGCCAACTTCACCAGTAACTAGTGGAACTCAAACGTCAACAGTTACAGTTAATACGCCAACTTCACTAGGAGCTAGTGGAACCCAAACGTCAACAGTTACAGTTAATGCGCTAACTCCACCAGTAACTAGTCGAATCCAATCGCTAATAGGTACAGTTAATACACCAACTTTACCAGTAACTAGTGGAACCCAAACGTCAACAGTTTTAGTTAATACACCACCTCCATCAGTAAATAGTGGAACCCAAACGTCAACAGTTACAGTAAATACACCAACTCCAC